GCGCGGGGGGGGGGGGGGGACAAACCAAAGGAATATAGAAGAAAAAAAGGGGAGAGCAAATGCTGTATTTATACATAGTCCTGCAATGTATGTATATATATATACTGAATCCGCAAATAGTGGCTTTTCCTAAAAAAATGTAAATAAAATATAACGGCACCAAAAAATATGCACCCCAAAAGAATTGTTATACATTTGTCCAACTTAATCCTTCAAGATTGGGTTAGATTCATGAAGAAAGCTTCATCGCAATCGATCGTAACAACATTAATGAGTGGACCATGCCTCTCCGTTCTAAAGTTTAGCGGCTAAATTAAAATCTAGGCATTTCTTGAGGATTTTTTTTTAATAATTGGAGGGAGAGCAAAGGGGAATCAGCGTATAGGAAAACATTGTATTCGGGAAACTTGATGGGCTTCGGGGACAGAAGCCGGCCCAACCTGGTAGATAAACACTCGAATTGGGCTCTTACCTCACTGTTTGATGAGCCCATTAGATTTGCGTTAGATTAACGGAAGCGTGGATATCATTATTTAGCTGTGTTAGTTACACCCGTTACCTGTACTAAAGGTCAAATATATATATATATATTAAAAATATCACATAATGCCAGGGAAATATACTCTCGTTTTTTTTCCAAGTAGTAGTAGAACGTACAAAGAGGGTCAAAATTAACAAAGGTTTCGAGAGCAAAGAATATTGAAAATGATGAAATTGGAGAAGAAAATGAAATGACAAAACACAAGTGGCATCCCACAATGTGAAAGACGGACCGTTGGGGCAAAGAGCACGACACAATACGCCATGACAGAACCCAATTCATTCACACCCCACAACTCCACTTGAAGACGTGCCGTCTTTTTTCATATATATATATATATTATGATTAAAATACAAAGATACGAGTTATGACGTTGACATACGAACCTTCTCCGAAACTCACCATCTTCAGACAGATAACAAAATCCTCACTCTCTCTCTCTAATCCTTCTGTCTTTTTGTATTTGCAAGGATACGTCTATTTCACGAATGATCTTATATATATATATATACACATATATGTATATACATAAATGATATCTGAACCTTCCGAGAAACAACCTAAGAATCAGGTGCTTTCTTCCACACATGGTCCGATGCTCTCTCTCGACAATCTCAACCCTTCGTTTCCCCCCCATGTGATCACATCCTCTGCTTAAACGCCTCTTCCCCTTTTGCCAGTGAACGCCCGTGACATCTACATCATTAAGCAAGCAACCGATACGGCACTCCCACTTACCCTATATATACACAAAGTGCCTCTTCCCCATCTTCCACAGCTTCCATGTCACGCCTTTTGCATAAACTCGAAATGGATCACGAGAAAACAATCCCGCATCAAACAGAAGAGACCACCAGCTCGAAAACCGAGGCTGAGGCAGGGGATGAGTACGAGGACATGTTACCGTTGATGGCGGAGAAGATGGAAGTGGAGGACTTTGTGTCGGAACTATGCAAGGGGTTTAAGCTGCTAGCTGATCCAGACAGAGACCTGATAACGCCCCACAGCCTGAGGCTAAACTCTGGGATACTGGGCATCCAAGGGATGAGCTTGGATGACGCCGAGGCCATGGTCAGAGAAGGAGACATCGACGGAGACGGAGCTCTCAACCAGACCGAATTCTGCATTCTCATGGTGAGACTGAGCCCTGGTATGATGGATGATGCCGAGGCTTGGCTCGAGAAAGCAATCAGCCAAGAACTCAACCACTTTCCCCTCTCTTGATCGAAAGCCCTTCTTCTCTATATAATATATATCCGGAGATTTTATGTAACTCACCATCCATCTACTCTTTATGTATCCTTCCTTACATAAACTGTTTCAAAGCCCCATGTCTCACTTCTCTCTCCGCTTTCAGTCTCTGGTGAAATCTTAAAAGTCCTGAAAAACAAATTATCAGACATGAAAGATATCTAAACTTCAATTTCTTGAATAACAAAAGACGAGACAAAACATTCCACAAACGGGATCAAAGTCATGAACACAGGTCAACTTTCGCACATGCGAGGTTTTTGTTTTTGCTCCTCAGAGCAGACAACAGACAAACCCAAGTACTATTCTACACTCTAGTACTGAAAACCACCATTACGGAACATCCTATAAAGATGCTGCTTTTCATTCTCCATCCGTAGTGTTCAGGCTCTCCCTCTTTGAACAGGCGATCGGCTGTTAGACACGAAAAAGTTAAGATTACTTCAAAGTAGAAAAACAAAGTAAAACCAACATTAACAAACAGTCGACAAGGAAAGGAAACCAATATTAGTACCTCCGGTATCGGTCATAACCAGGGCTCCTGGGCCTACCGTAGTCTGGACTCCTACGTCTTTCATAGCCAGGATCCTTGTACCTGTCGTATACTGGACTGCGTGGACGGCCGTAATCAGGACTAGGACGCCTCCTATACACAGGGCTAGGAGACCTCCCATAGCCAGCCCCTCTTCCTGGGCTACCTCCTCCATACTTATCATCTCTTTCGTCATCATCCCTTAATGCATACTCTACAGACACAACCCTGTCCTGCAATTTGCTGCCAGAGGCATGACACAAATAGGCAACGGAAAGTGGCTAGTCAATAACTATTTTCTTGCGGTGTGCCTCTGTATCAGACAAAAGATTCAAGAAACCGGGTTTACCTCCTCTGTGTACCTTCGAGGGCCTTGGTAGCATCTTCCTGTGTTGCAAACTGAACAAATGCAAAATTGCGTCTTATACGTACATTCGTGACTTTCCCATAAGGCTCAAAATGCCTCTCAATGTCGCGTTCCCTTGTGCGAACGGGATCAAAGTTGATGACAAACAGTGTCTTAGTAGGCCTCTGATTTACGGCTGCCCTGCCATCACGAGGCCTTCCACGTTCACCCTGATATCCAAAAGAAACTTATTTAGAGCTTTTCCAATATATTCAAGGAGTAGGATCTATTTGAACTAATCCAAAAGCTTCAAGAAATTTACAGAAACAGATACCTTGGCCCATTCAACGGATAACCTACGCCTCTCGTATCCAAAAGGGGTATTGTCAAGGCCACGAATGGCATCTTCACCATCACGTTCATCCTCAAAATAGACGAAAGCATATCCTGCAAAATAATAATGCAAGATAATAATGGAAGAGCAAAGGATGATATAATCTGTTACAGTGTATAAAACTTGCTAAGCAGGGGATTAGATCCAGTAAAATTTCGTTTCTCCTACAAAAGAACTAAATAAATATACAACACCTGCATATATGTGAAGGCTGGTGTACATAAGATGTAGAGATGTTCCATGGTGTAGAAAATCAAGATGGTAGAGCGTATGAAAGCTAAAAAATCCAAGTTTTGTTCTGAATGATTGCTAGGTACGCTTGAACATTCTCAGAGAAGTTCAAATATGGAAGGCATGATGAAACAAGGCATGGAATGATGGTCTCAAACAGATCCCCATCTGATCAGTGATGATGGTATACATGACAAATTCCAAGGTATCCCTAGAATCAGCGCGCAACATGATAATTTTCTCAGGCAGTGATGAAAGGGCAGAGTTATGGCAGGCAGTGACATTGATGACAGATGTAGAGTGATGAAAGAGCAGAGATATGGCAGGCAGTGACATTGATGACAGATGTAGAGTGATGAAAGGGCAGAGTTATGGCAGGCAGTGACATTGATGACAGATGCAGTGATGAAAGGGCAGAGTTATGGCAAAAGGCAGGAAAAGAAACTCATATTCCTTTGTAGGAGGTTCCTGCGACCAAATAAAATCTTAACACAGGTATCCTCTTTCGCATAAACCCCACAAAATGCCACTCTTTTCTTCTAAAGCAATAAACGTCTATGATTCCAAAAGCAAATTATGATTCAGAGACAGAAGTATCAGACAGACTGTAAATCATACCCCGAATGCAGTTAAGTTTTCATAATACGCTATCAAGACCATTAAGAATGACCAAACCGAAACCACCGATCAGCAAATCAGGCAAATATTGTCAAATTGCAACAGTGATAAGAAATTTACACAATACCCGACAGAAATTCCCAACATAACCCAATATAAGTTTCCTAATACCTACATTTCTCATGTTACCACTCAATATCGCTCAGCAAAATGTAGTAAACCCTTGTTAACAACAACACCGAAGAGAAGGTACCAGAAACACTAGAGAGACATAAACCCAGTACTTACCAGATTTCATGTCCACTCGCTCCACTCTTCCGTACTTGCTAAACAAGCGCTCCAGCTCCGACTGGCGAGTATCATACTCGAAGTTTCCGACAAACACTGGCCTCATTCTTACAGAAATCTCAGAACTGCATACAAAACAGCACCAACGAAAAAATTAACCTAAATCAGAACCTCTAACGCGAAGAGCAAGAGTAAGTATCCCAGAGACTTGAAATAAAGGAGTTGAGCAAGAACGAGCGGGAAAGTTTTACCTCGAACGAAGTATCAGACTCGCGGAGAAGACGAGAAAGAAACCCTAGACGACGCTCGGAAGAGAAGACAAGGGTCAGTTTCGGGAATTTTCTCCGCTCTTTATAGAAAAAAACGTAGGAATGAAAGCGTGTCACTGACGCTGTCTCGATGACCGTCCGATGATCAGGGGCAACTTAGGAATACAACAATTTATATCTAATGGGCCAACAATTAAATGGGCCTTTATTGGGCCTGTTAAAGTACGTTTATCAGGATACTTCAAGAACACACGTCTGGCCTGTTAAATTAAATGGGCCTTTCTTATTGATAACTAATGCCTAATTCGTTACACTTCACTGCAAGAAAATCCAACACATTCAAGATCGACAATAAGGAATAATCTTTGTTTTTATATATCCAAGAAATTTACTGTAACCTACAAATTCTGCGGAAAAAAAAATTAAAGGAAGGGGGAAAAAGCTTTGACGACTTATAAACCACTGTACATTAGACGCATTCATCCAATCACAACACGCCACGTAGTCAAATTGACTTTCAAAACTTAATCCTCAGCCGTCCATGATCTAAGGCGCCAGATCGAACGACTGAGATTTTCTGCTGCTTTTGATTCTCAAAAGCCCGTACAGTTTCCTGAACTCCTTCACCGCCGGTGAACCTCCGCCGCCGCACAACAGCCCACTCGTTTCTCCAAGTTCCTCCGCCGTTGGAGAACTCGAGCCGTTATCGAGAAACAACCGCCGTCCCATAGCCATTATCCCCCTCCGATCACCGTCCGTCTGGAGCGCACTTATCACGGCCTTCACCGCTCGGCTCGGTGAGTTCCGGTTAGCGATCATGAGCTCCGAGATCTCCGCCGGACTCAGTGACGATCCGTTCTGGAAAATCTCTTCCACCTGTGGGAAAAGCTTGTGATCCTTCACGCCCAGGTAGTTGCTCGCCAGCGTCTTGAACGCCGTGAAATCGCACAGCGGGAAGTGGATGTGGACGTCGACCCGACCTGGCCGCAGCACCGCCGGATCGATCTGGTCCTTCCCGGTCATCGTGAACACCATGATTCGCTCGTCGGCGGCGCACGAGTTGAGGATTCCGTCGGTGAAGTTCAAAATCCCAGATAAGCTCAGAGCCGTTGATTTCGCCGAGAGGAACCGATCGAGGTCCTCGACCACGATCACGGATCTGCTCGTGGTCTGTAACAGAAGCATCTTGAGATCCGAGTCGTCCTTCACTCTCGAGAGATCGATATCGTAGACATCGTAGTTGAGAAAATTCGCCATCGCCGCGACGAAGCTCGATTTTCCGGTTCCGGAGGGGCCGTAGAGAAGGTAGCTCCGTTTCCAGACGCGGCCGAGTCGGTTGTAATACTGCTTCGCCTTCAGGAACGATTCCAGATCGGATTTCACCTTGTTCTTCAGATCCGCTTCCATGGCGATATTGTCGAAGGTGCAGGGATGCGTGAACGGAGCAGATTTCCACCGTCCGTTCTTCTTCGTCGTCGCATCGTCGTTGCCGGCGGTTCCAACGTTCATGAACAGCTTCAGCTCCCTGTTCCTCTGCTCAAGCTCATCCGACACTGTATGTATATGCTGGAGATACGGTCGGAGAATTCTCCGTTTATCGGCCCTCCGAATCTTCAACACGAAATTCCTCGTTCCGTCGTCGTCTTCTCCGTTAATCCAACAAACTCTGGCCCCGAGAAACTCATCGTCGATGATCTGGTTACGATCGAAACGAAGAACAATCTCGTTGGATTTTTTCCCGGTGAAGAGATTCGTGAAATCAGAATCCTCCATAGAAACGAGAGAATTCAAGTAAGCACAAACTTTCCGGTAAAACTGATTCTCCTGCATGTTCTCGTTGAACTCCGGGACCTTGTAGAACTGGGAGACGTGAAACAAATCAACGATCCTTCTCCGCCACTTCTTCACCATGAAAATCAATCCAGTTTTAAACAAAACAACCCTAACTAAGAACAGAAGAACCCCCACGAGCAGCAACAAGAGAACCGAATCCCACAGGATCCCCATGGAGAAATTTTCCCGGAAAATCCCGATTCGAAATCTTCCTAAAATCTGCCGATAAACGGATATATACACACTGGGAAGGAAGAAAATTTTCGATGAAATCAAGAATTTCGGAGGGATGTTTGACGAGAGAGAGAGAATATTTATATATGCGGAGACTGAGAATTTTGACGGAGAGAAAGCAGAGTTGGGAGAGGAGAGTCCAAATAAGAACGCTAACGAGGAGCCCAAAAAGCCACGCAATTTTTTTATAAAATAAAAATTTAAAGAACTCGTGGCATCGACCGGCGAGGGCAAAATAGTAATAACACACATGAGTTTTACCGCGGGATTTGTTTGAAAGTGAAACCGCTCGTGCCAACGGGAAGATCTGAACTATAGATTTTGTTAGATACAGAATCTGAAACGATGCTGCAGATTCAGTTTAACTATCCATGCTAAAATTACGATTTTGCCATCCTAATCACCCGGCGAATCTTATTATGTTAACATCCACCAGAGATATCTGCATCATTTTATTTTCATAATTTGTGTTTTTTTTTTCTTATTCAGAGTTACGTACCAAATAAATGGTTACATTCATTTTCAGCTCATAAGTCAACTTGCTGGCCACAATTAAATATATGAATCTCCCCATTAGCTCGAATTCTTTATTTCTTTCACTCGAATATTCCGAATATTAAAAGCCCCGATAACAGGAGTTTCGAGCTAATCCACTTGTCCGTCCTACGATGACAGAACATATTTTCGTTAGTTAAAGGGATAATTCCATTTAAAACCCTGTACTTTTCTTTCGTCGCAATTTAAACCCTATACTTTTTTTTGATCCAAAAAAACATTGTACTTTTAAAAATTGGCAATTAAAACTCTATACTTTTAAAAATTGGCAAATAAAATCCTGAACGAAAAAATATATTATTTAATGCTGACATGGCATCCTAGTCATCTGTCACATCATCAATCCCTAATATTTAATAATATTAATTAATA